AAAGGACTGAAAAGAGAAAGCCAAAAGAAACTGTATCACAATTGACGCCTGAAAAGATAGGTGAAAAAAAAAAGCCGTAGACGGATGCCTATAGTGCAGGTATTTGTTTATTACAGCACTGGAGGTGAGGGGGCTCTCTCCACCGAACTCACCCATCTTTGTCTAATGTTGTGGTTTATTTATACAGTTAGTATTGCTCAATATTGTCATTGTCACTATATACAGGTATGGAACTAATTAGCATAATCGTTATATGGCAGTTCTATAACTGCACTTGAACTTCCCCAATTTAGGTGGTTTTGGGGGTCTTTGATGAATGCTCAAGGTCTTCCTTGCTTCTGGACTTTTCAACTTTGTCACTGGAGCACAGTTATGGTGTTCTTTGGTTTTTCTGGCTCTAACTGGTCTAAATTCTTCATTTTGTGGCTAACTGGCTTACATTTGCCAATTTCTCATTAGTACATCCTGCTGCTTCTTAATATAGTTGTTTTTCTATTTTGAGACTATCCACCTGGTGAGTTTTTTGTCTATTCAAGCATTAAGCAACTAGTTACCCATATATTAGCTATTATACTGTATAGACAGCTATGATCCAGGGTAGCAGGTATCATAACTCAAACTATATAAGCATCTTGCAACTTTGACCCAAGTTACACAGGCATCACAATGCCCTCTCTAATTTGAAGTGCAGAAAGATGTTAATACAGTGCGCATTTTTACTACTTTGTCTTTCTAAATGGACCTAGGAAGGGAGGACAAGCTCCAAGTACTTAAATAGATAGGATAGTTACCTCAAAACTAACTATAAACTTTAAAAGTAACTATAGGATAGTTGCTTTAAAAAGGACAGTCAGAAACAGTTGCTTCAGCCTGGGGGGAGGGGGCAGGAAGAAATACAAAGGGAGGGAATATAGTGAGAGTTTTAAAATCAGAAGTGGCCCTGGGAAAAGGAACAGTCCTAGCTCTTTCCCTGCACCAAGATACAGGGGTAATGCTGAGTTAAATTAACAGGTGAGAGAATCAAACAGCAAAAAGTTTCCTGTTCTCAGTACAATAAAAATACTGTGTTGGTTTGCTTGGCCTGGTTTTTGGTGGGGTGGGGGCTATGAAGATGGTTTCTGTGAGAAGCTGCTAGGAGCTTCCACCATGTGCAGCAGAGCCAATCCCTAATGGCTCTGAAGATGATCATGCCACTGGCCAAGCCTGGGCCAACTAGAGATGTTGGTTATGCCTCTGTGATAACGTATTTAGGAAAAAATCAAAACAAAAGGAGCAGGGAGTTTTCTTTAGCCAGAGGAGGATGTGAGAATATGTGAAAAAAAAACAACATGGAGACACCAAGGTCAGTGAAGGAGTGGGAGGAGGTGTCCAGRTGCTGGAGCCAAGATTTCTCTCTCTGACTGTGGTGAAGGCCATGGTGAAGCAGATTGTTGCCTTGCAGCCCGTGGGGCCCATGGGGATGCAGAGATCCACCCCCAGCCCGTGGGGCCCA